TTCAAGTCAGTTTTTTATCCTCCCAGACAAGTCTGGTACCAATTAACCGACCCCGGAGGGATGGAAGGCTTGGTTGGCCCGGGCGACTCACGACCCAGGATTTGATCCCCGGACCGCTCGCGTGGTAAGCGCGCCACTTGTCACTACACCACTTCCGCCCCAAATTAACTGACTTATCCTAAACAGTGTCTCAAAGAGATTTCTGTTTGAACAAATCATACGCATTTAGTAACCGAAAGGAAATAACAGAAACCAAAAGCTTGTCATCGATGCGTCAAACCGTAGACCATTTTTCATCGCTTTTTGATTCCCAGGCCGCTCAGAAGAGGCTTTTCCTTGCTCCATGTCCGTTCTTTATGGAAGGAAAATATTTTGAAAAAAAAAACATCTGGACGACTCTTCTGATTAGGGCCAAGATGAACTTCCTAGTACGACGGATAGGTAAATAAGAAAGCGGAAACCGGTGATTCATAGTTCCAAAAAGTAATAAAAATCTAATAGTGCAACAAACTAGTTCAAAGATAGAAAAATTCATCAAATAGTACATTCAATATACCTCCTGTCGAATACACGACATGAATTAGAAATGACTGAAAACCTAGAAATTAAAGAGTAAACAAGGCCACTCAAGGTAAGCGGGAAAAAAGTACAGTTTTACAATTCATCTCAAAGAACCCGGTAGAAATGGGTAGTAGCATTAAATATATAAATTACACTAAATTTCTCTTCTAAAAACGTTCGTTATTTTATGTGTCTAAAATCCTCTGGCAGACCAAAGCATCCCGATCAAAGACCACCAGAGCGAACCTTTCTAGCATACACGAAAGCACCGATTCCAGCAAGGCCAGCCACGGCAGCGGCTGTGGCAGCACAGCGAACCTGAAACGTGCTAGCGTTCATTATGAATGTTAGTGAGACATCGTAGGTCCCAAAAACACATGCTATGCTACAACCATCAACTTTTATCAGATTAACCAGCTTCTGCAATTCACCATAAAAAGGCGAATGGACGGCGAAACCTTGTCATAGTCAAAAATAAAACAAATCAACATCAATAGCTCACATAATACTTTAAAGTCCTTCAAAAATATATTTGAAGGCAGCGATTAACATAGTTTCTTGAGGGGTTTGAAGAAGACTTGGGGTTGCTACGTCAATGGTACGTCAATGCAGGGTCAACCGTCCGTTCGAACTGTTCGAACGAGGGGGTCGCATTTCGAGGACTACCAGCCACAGGCGCGTGCGTGGCGTATCCGAGGGCAAGAATTGCTTGTGCAGACCGCATTAGATTCGATTAATTATGCACAGAGAGACAGTTTAGGCAAATTACAGTGCTCTTTATAAGGAGCTGAATCAGGCGAATATGGAGAGGTTACACAACGCAATTGTGGGGTGCACCATGCCGAGCTCACAATTATGCGCGCTACTACAACATCAGCTCGTCCCAAATCACTATGCTATACGAAGTTATTACGTTGGTGGCGATTTTTGAGTACTGCTTGAAGGCAAAGTTCGGGCTCAGACCCACCTAAGAAAGCCCTTACCATGGCTAGAAGTGCTGGTACGCAAGTGCAAAGGTAGCGCCACCTTTCTACATCGAAACGCGTCACTAGGACCCTAGGCGCCATGGACTTCTAACAGACTCCACCAAACTTAACATGGTCCGCCCACCGTTCGATATCTTGTCTGCGTCGCCACGTTGATCTGCTATGCTCTCTCTTCTCGGACTTCTCTACCACTCTCCGCGCTCACATTATCTCTCATCTCCCTGCCTGTCTTTTGAACATCTCCACAGCATGGAGCAAAATGCTCATATTTCCTGTGTATTTCAGGATTTTCTTCCTTTTTCTCCATTGGCGGTCCACCTCCCATCCCTACTTTCACATTTGAGTGGAATCACCCCATCAATCTTAATCCTGATTCCTGCCTTTAACATTGCATTGGTCGCAACCTTTTGCCGAACGCATTCTATGGAAAGGAGATGCTTTTTTCTGGCTATCCACTCTGGCGCTGCCACTTAGCTCACATAAGGAGAACTGCAAAGGCATCGAACGAGAGCGGATATGGTACCAATGGTAGCCGCTCGCTTCATAGGGGTGAGTCATTATGTTCAAATCCTTGTCGTAGTAAACTTTTGCAATTTTTCAAGGCTGCTCATACAAGCTCAGAAAGCGTTTATAATTGGTTATTCTGTTATGCATTCTGTTTGTTCGTTCTGTTTTTACGCGAGCCAAGGCCATAGCAGGCAAGCTATGCTTCATCTGGCGCATATATTTCCCCAATGCCTTAACACTTTATCATAATTGCGTCCATCCTCGTCCTTATCCCCTTTCTCATAACAAACAAACGCTCTTGCGCACGTTGCTTACTGGCTCGGTTTTTCTCCCCAGATAGCTACTGACGACGAACGCACGAGTCAATAATTTAACAATGGAAAGAATTTTCAAACGCGTACAACCATGCCCATGCAGATCCACACGACCGACCCCCCCCACCCAAGATCGACCTACTTGGACAGAGTACCAACGGGCGGTCGTACTTGTTTAGCTTGGAAACGTCTTTCACATTTTAGTCGCTGAGAAATCACGGGATTGAGGTGAAACTAAGTAAGATTTCGTGGGTAGTAGGCTGGGCGAGTGGAGGCGCAGGGGAAAATTTACCGTTTCAGAGTGACTATACCCCCCCCCCCCTCCCCCGCTCGACGGCATTTTTGGAGGAAAAAGTGGGCGGGTTTGGTGAGTTGAGTGGTATCAGAATTAAGTACTATAGAGACGATGATGGTGGTCGAGGTGTCGAAAAGGGGGTCGTATCAAATCCACCTTGGGGGAGGGGGTCGTAAAAATTTTTCAGAAAGTAACAACGATAGGACCGACCCCTGCCAGGCAATCGCAATCGTTATAAAAATTTAGTTACGAGTTACAGGTTTCATGCCGTCCGTGCAGCGGCTTAGGGTACAATGTTCTCTGGCTTTCTGCCATGGCAAAATTTTTGAACATAACATTCACAATCCTCTCGCTCGATTTTCAATAAAGCTAAGAAACACACCGCTGCGGGATTCCTGTCCAACCACAGAAGAAAGCTTCCGTATGGTGATTTATCGCCAGATTCCTTTTCGGAGCTTTCCTGGGGCCGTTCAATTTTGTCGCTCTTCTCGCTCTTCTCTTCAACTTGCTTTCCTTCTTCTTCTGAAGCCAGCGGGTTCACGACCGCAGTTGGAACTTCCTATAACGGTGATGGCAGCTGTTTAAACATGGCAGACCAGGATCTAACAAAAGCACCTACCTTGCTCTCAACAGCACCAGTCTCCTGCTCGCTAGGCTTCCCACTGTCTGCGACTTCAAGCTAAAACGCAGGAAAATCGTGCTAAAGAATTCGTGAAGGAAAAAGTTGACGCACCTTGGGTTTGAGAGAACCAGCGTTATGCTCATCCGAGTTTCCATTATCTGCATCGTCAATCTGTAACAAATATCCTTCTATGGGGATAATTCAGGCAATGCATTGGTCTAATAATGAAGGGTTTTTCGCGGAAAAAATATATATTGTAAATCTAACCTTAACGAAATCTCCGGGATCAGAATCGACACTTTTTCGCAAAGGGGCTTTGTGCACAGATTCTACCTAAAAAATTCAGTACTGTGGTCTTCCTCCTATCAACACAACCATGATTCCTATGAAAAACGAAGGTGTGAAAGCAAAATGATGACACCACTTTCTCTCTAGTTTCCACCATAAGACACCGGGATTTTTGTTTCGAAAAGTCAGAGGAATTCAACAACGAAAAACCCATCAAAAACTCATACCGCCAGTTTAAACCCTATTACTGCCGAAAAATCAGGCTGAAAGTTCATTGGGTATCCTCCCCCATGCGTGATAGCTTGCTGACATATTCGAACTACCCAATTCTTTGGAAAAGTAGGCGAGCGGCACGGAAGATCACAGTAAATCATTTGCCCTTCAAAAGCTGGGCCAGCGAACGAACGCTGGCGCACCAGTCGAACTGTTCGCGCATAATTAGCTAATTCACTGACTGGAATGATCGTATAGTCCGACACCCTGCTCAGTTACCCAACCAGGGTGAAAATCGTGTCGAGTACGTGGTCGCAGAGGTACGACCCCCCCCCCCGAAATCGAGATCCTGGCACGACCCCCTCTAACAGAGCAAATTAATTCAATTAAAATAAATCCTGCAAAACAAATCAAAAAAAATTCTGCAAAATAATGCTAAGGACGCTTCATCTTGTCATCTATGCACGTCTTCCATCGCTGCATACTTTTGTGTACATACTGAAATATCGACTCGAGGAAAGAGGCATTAACTTTGTGTGACCTCAAGGCGAGGTTCGTTCAGAAACGCACAGAAATCCTGAAGACACGGGGTTGCGATTCAATCTTGATTCTTGCTTGAGTATATCAAAACAGCCGAGTGTATCAAAGGCCGATTCAACGGCAGCTGCGGCGCGATTGTCACTGGGTCAGATTTGCCGAAATTTCAAAAAAAAACGTCCGAATCTACACCCTCGATGAAAAGGTTGCATTCCTCCATTTCACAACCTTTGAAGCAGCTTGAGGTAGAGTTAGATAGAGCTGGATTTCGCGTTTCCAACAAGCATCGAAATTGCTCTGGAAGCCTTCCTTGCAGAAAGATAGGGTCTGTCAAATTTCGTCGAGTAAATGTCGAGGAGGCCGAAATTTTCACGCGAGTTTTTGCCACTTCAAGAGCAATATATCTCTTATATTGTAAGATCCTGAAAAAGGGAAGATAGTTTTGGAAAGCGGAAGGTTTGCGCTTCCTGATGGTCTGTTTAGTTTTCTTCTACAGCTTTTTGGTTGAAGAGATAATTGCGTCGAGGATCTATCGAGGTCGGATCCGGCCACCTGGAAATCCGCTCCCTCATTCACCATTGCAAGTGTGACTCGTTGGCAACACTCGGAATGTGTCTAGAACAATATCTTTGAACGCAAACAATAAGAATAGGAGCAATCGTCATCATCCGATTTGGTATTGGTATAAGCCATGCATCCCTCCTCCACTCACAGTTGCAGAATCGATTGAAAGGTGTTATATGATGGGGACCTTCGAACGAAACTGTATTGTAGTAGACATAGTGTGTTGTGCTATTCCTGTAACCTAAAAAACAACTTCATTTGCCCAGCGCTTTTTCTTCACGGTTGTCGTTTTTCCGACAGGGTCCCTAACAACAGCGTCATTCTCAGCGAGGTATTAAGGGAGAAGGAGCGAGTGATAGGCGGAGGAGGTGCCTTTGCAGCGCGTGCGCACATGTGGCACTCTTCTTTGCGGGGATGCACTTTCATTCTTTGTACTGCCTTCAAATACGCCCTTCTCATGAAGGTGGAGGAATGGAGCGACTGAACCTGCAAAGAAAATTTAATATCATGTTTTTTTTTCGGATGTTTTCATTTTCTGCTGCGCTATACCCTATTACCTATCTGCACCATGATACCACTTCTGTTACTGACCCCAAGAGTACGACCCCCATGGACCAGCCCAACAGGTACGACCCCCCTGTCGAGGATTTCCTCGACCGATATTCACCCTGGTTCAACTCAATAAGATAGAGAACACTGTTCCAACAAACCTCGCTGAGATTGTCGTTGCCTTCAGTTTCCACTGGTGTGACATCCATGCTTGGAACCGCTTCAAGCGGAATGCTACCCTCGATCGAAGAGGTATCTTCCTGAAGAATTGAAGCTCACATAAAATGCTCATATGGCGCTTTGGAAAGAGTTGTAATCCAGTTTATGACTTTTTAACTCTGAGGACATGAAACTAAACACTCCTAATCTGTTAAGGCACAGAAGCGATCTTATTCTATCCAGTTATTAAATGCACTGCATTCTTTGTATTTTTATAGTTTTTCATGTTACTGTTTGTTTCTATACACTTTTGTTTGACTTCATTGCTTACATTAAGCTGAATTAGTTGTTTTTTCCCTACCCTCACTGGAACTTCTGCAAAACGGATTCCGGCAAGGTTGGCGGACCTACTGAGTTGGTATCCGGAGCTCCACTTTCATGGGCATGGCATGAGCTTGCAGTGTTGGCGGCCACTGCCCTTCGGCGCTGGATTTCCGCTCCCTGTTCTAGCAGTACCCATTTTTTGGTGCCCCATTCGGTCGTATTGTACTTTTATCGGAGATATGTTTCTACTGAATCGTAATGTTTTGTTTCTGGAATTTTGGATTCCGATGATAAATATCAATTCAAACCTCTTCTTATCCCTAACCTTTTTTCTATAAATACGAAAAAAGAAAAGTTTAGATGACGGGGCCAGGAAAGTAAGAACATGAACCGAAAAGCTGAGGGTGGAGTGTGGGCGAATATCACCATTCATTGATAAATTAGTGGATGAAAGGAAAAACTATGAATGGTCGAAATGGTCAGATTCTATCCGTGAATGTTTGAATCATCACCACAACAGTACATTTTACACTTTTAAGAATCTCGCCGTTGCAGCCTGGATGCTTTTTTGTGTATTCTCGAACAGAAAACAAAACATCGAGAAAGAAAAAGAACACCAAATGACAGTCCGTGAGATCAAAAGTGATTTGGTGACAAACCTCACAAGATTCAGGACTTTGATGAGCAGTTCCACGCGTACAGGGAGACCATCTGCTATACAGAGATCTAGGATGGTGGCATTTGCCTAAAGCCATCACAAGGTAAACCAAGAAGACTCAAAGAGAATGGAAAACCGACCAAGGGCAGACATGTATTAAACCGTTTATTACTGATTGAACAGAGACAAACGATACAATAAGCGTCGCTAGAGTTCAGCCATCTGTCAAAGGCTACGCAAGTTGCATGAGCACTACAATATTACGATTGACCAGGCAACCCATGCCTTGACTCACGATATAGGGACAGTATGCTAATTGGTTCGGCCAGGAAAGGACGGGAATCCGTGCAAATATCTTGAAGAAACTATATAAGCCAAGCAAGTATTCAGTGCCCGGGTCGATTTCTAAGTAAAGGACCCGGCTTAAGAGATGGAACAGAGTTTCACTACTAATGCACCACTACAACTACTTAATACTAATGCAAAAAATTTACAAGCTCAGATCGCACTGAAATAACATTAAATGATTGTGGGGGAAAGTGGAACGCCACACAAAAGAGGAATGATCACTGCAGAATATTCCAGAGATTACACCCATCCGGTCAGGCTACCATGACGCTATCCATAATGACAAAAGAACAATTAGGCAACGTTTGCATTTGGTTCGCGATCGCACATGCGATTGAGCTGTTTGCGAATAGGCGAGTAGCAGTGAAATTGCATGCGTATCGACTTGCTTGCTGAGCTATCGAGTGATCATCACCTTTATGTGCTTCAGGCTCACCTTGTGCTAAAGGCAGTGAGACTGAGCACAGAGGAGAGGATAGGCGAGAGAGTACAAGGGATGAGAGGGCGCAGACACCAGCATGATATGGACGAAAGAATGGAAGCGGTCGAAGCGGTATTTGCAAGGTGCTAAGGCCTTTGTCGGGCCATCTCCATGCGCAGGACTGTTATGTCTGTGATTTTCCTGTAGAAGTCAAAACTACAGATCGAAAAGAATTGTTCACCTGACTTTCGCCTGGGTTGTACTTCAATATGCAGTTGTTGAACTAACATTAAACTCAATCTCAATATTTGCACCCCTACCACAAATATCGCTGAAGATGCGGAAGAAAGAAAATGGGATAACATGGAGCCTGTTAGAAAAATTAATCCAGCAACTAGGGTAAAAAAATAGATCAGAGGAAAGCAACAGGTGGAAAGAGGTGACGACAAAATTTTATAAACGCAGCTTACTACTCGATTCAATGGGCATACGAGTTCACGATCTTGCCTTTTCATTAACTGTAGAAGAGTCACATGATTTTCTAGAAGCAATAGGAAAATGCTTCAGCTATAATAGAAAAAAAACTGAATAACATGGGCTTTGCGGAACAATACCCGATTAAAATATATATGACCAAGATCTGCGTGTCTGATTCTATTTACATATTTCATCCTTTAGCACTTTCGCTTCCCACATGAAACAAATCGCAATGATATTGAAGATTTTCGTACCTGGACTACATTTCCAGTGTCCGATGGCTGCTGACCCACGTCTGACCCCTAAAGTTTCCAATTATAAATAAAAACAGCCACAAAAACTTAGAACACCGGGCGTGAAGTCAGCTTTGTGACAGGTTTTTTTTTCAAAAGATTGTATCTAGGGAATCATCAATATGTAGAAGCCGATATTATGATATCAAGTAGGCGGATCACCAGCCAGTTCTTACATTCATTTTCGCTTCCCGTCTTATTTGCCCCGACCCCCCGAACTCAAAATCTCCCAAACTACGAGAAACGAATGAAAGCTCTCGCTCTTCTCTCCCGTTACTGTAATTTCGGCCGGATATTCGATACCACCACGATGGGTTAGAAGTAGGTGTTTTCAAGTATCCACATACAAAAACACAACGGATCGGAATCGACGTGGAGCTAGAATTGATCGACCAATTAGGCAC